ATACTATTGTAGAGATACTTGGGACCTTACATATCTATTGTCTACTATTTTAGAATTTTGTTGTGAGATTTGGTTTAATTTTCTAAATTATTTTCCTTTTGTCTAGCTAGCACTTTAACTTTATGTTTTTTCAATTTCTATCTTAGTCCGATCCCATTTTTTGGGATTGATTGCTCACTTGAGCTTTTTGGACTCTACTACCATGTTAATATTCATGACGTTCCATCTCAAAACCAATTGACTATGAGAGAAGTGGTCCACATCTATTATAAACCTGTGTAATGTTCCTCCTTTTATCAATGTGGCATCTATGTCCATAATATATCATATCTTAGGGGGTAAGAGAGGGGATCTTACGGTTTCAAAAGAGAGGAAAAAAAAATAGAGAGGGTAATTAAGCACACTAACTTTTAGAATTGAATTAACAAAGTCATATCCCTATAACTATGTCTAACTTCTGCCATTGGGCTATTGTATATGAATATTAATCCACCATTAAAACAAATTATGACATTCTTTGGTTAATTATAATCATAACTCAAATTCGAACCTTATGACTAAAATTTGAATTGATTAGATGTTGACAAAACTAAAATAGATATTCTTAAATTTTAAGGACTAACTTAACAATAAAGGCGACAAAAACAAAAACATGAACCTCCAATCTAATTTCAACCTATAATATATTTTTCTATATAAATTAAATTAAAAAAAGAACAAAAACATGAGACATATTTTCAAAGTTAGAAACTTGGTACCCTAAAGATAACATGTTAGTTGGTTTTGTTTTGGTTTTGGTAGAAATAAAATAAGAATGTTGGGCTTTGATTATTTGACCGTTGACTTTATTAGTCAACGACACTATTAGAGCACCAAATCACATGCACCAATCAAGAGGCATCATTTTCTGTTTGTTGGTCATTGGCGTGGAAACTAATTATTACAGGTGTTTTTTCTTTTTTAATTATATACTATTTAAGAGCAAGATTTTAAATCTCGATATCGATGGAAATGTCGAGGTCTCAATTTTATAGAAATATCGATAAAATATCAATATCGATATCGATGGATATTTCTGTAAAAGTTAGAAAAATTAAAAAATCCTAAAAAATATTTAAATAAACAAATAATGAATTAGTTAAAAATAATTAATATTAATATTATATATATATATATATATTTATTAGTGACACTTTGATATTTTTCACATTTTGTCGATTTTACTGTACTGTGATAAAAATGTTGATTCCACCCTCATGTCGATGTCAAACCCATGAAAATATGGATATATTGATGGACATGTCTGACGTGTCGACAGATATTTAAAATCATGTTTAAGAGTACTCTAAGACCATAGTTTTCTTTTTCTTAAGTTTGAATTATATACATAAGCACACACACATTCTAAAAATAATTAACCAACTAATAGAGGTCAATATTTATATGATTATTACATCTTGAATTATATGTCCCTTATGTATAATAAATACCAATCATAGTAATAATTAATAATATTATTAGATTTTGTTTTTGAGAGTAAATAAATGCAGTGATCCAATCGAATATTATGAATTATTATCACTTGCTTCTAAATTTTACCATTTTTAAGTTAAAAACGAGATGGGTTTGAATTATTGTGGATTAAAAGGGCTTCATATATGGGCCAATATATTAGGGAAAATTAATATAATTTGATATCCCCACAAATTTTACTTTTCATTTTCAATTTTTAATAAGTTCTTAAAAATTTCAAGATTATGCCGTTTTTTTAGTACAGCATGGAGTGGGATTTGAATCCACGACCCTTTAGTCGCGATATATGCCTCAACTAATTAAGTTATATTCAGGTTGACCATAAAATATTATAGTCGTTATAACTAAATTTAAAAAACTGGCTGGTAAAATAATTAAAATCAACCAACAAAACACCTAAAATCATGATACAGAAATGCTCAAACTCAATCATGAAACCTTCTCAACAAAATCAAACAAATAAAAGATGTACAAACTCTAGCAACAAAAATACTCAAATTCAACTATAAATCCATCCAATACAATTGAAGTGACGAATACTGCAAAATGTTCTTCGTCCTGTTGGATTTTTCAAAGTGCGAAAGAAAGTGGAATTTGAAGTATTGATAAACAATTTAATATATATACAAATTTAATATCCAAAAATTAAATTTTTAATTTTTAATTCACATATACGTTGTGAATTTTGTTTCATTTTGTTTATCAATTGTTTATTTATTTCTTTAGTTTTTATGTTTCTTCATTTTACTAAAATTGAAGTTATATGTTTAAATAAGGAGTTTTCCTTTATTTTGTTAAAGTTACAAAGTACATATTTGTAATTTTATATGTGTTAAAAACTTGTGAGATGTTACTTGTTTTGGACAACTATATATAGTTGTTGTTTTGCTTCATTTTGAGATATTCAAGCATACCACAATTGAGTCTTCTCCTCCTCCCACAAGAGTTCTCTCTTCTTTTGAGTTCTTCTTTTTGTTTATGTTGAGAGCAAGTATCTAAGAGTTCTGTCAAATCCGAGTAGTTCGAGGTTGCTGTTCTACCGGAGTTAGTCGTTGTATCCTGCTGAGACGATTGTTGTAGTCTGCTAGCAACTTGTGCAGAGCGAATAATTGTCTTCAGGTCAGCACTATTGTAGCGTGCCTCGACTATATTTCGTAAAGATTTTGTGTTCATCAAGCTATCAAGATCTATAATTGTTTGTAGCCAGTTACGTTGTAAATTGTTGCTAGTGTTATTTAGTTTACATATACAACGTGTATTTATCCAAAACGTCCAACGTATAAACATCTATTGCTAGTCATAAATGTTTAAAGAAAATTGTTATAAAAAAATGAATTGAATACATTAATCTCACACCACTTATATTGAAGTGTTAGGTTTAATCAATGATTTTTTTTCTTTTTTTTTTCAACCTACCAACCATTTTATTAAGAAGTATGTGATTAGAGAATCTACGAAATTGAAAGTTTAGAACTAAAATTGATTTATGAGTAAAAATTATAAAGAACTTTTAAGAAGAAGGAAAAAAACTACCTTATAAAAGATCGTCACATGATATCATATTATCATTTCACATTCAAATGCTAATATATATATAATTTTTATAGTACAACTAATGGGGTGGGTAATTTAAACTCATTACCTCTTGATTAGAGATAGGTGTCAATTACTACTGAAGTAAGCTCAAATTAACTCAAAGACTTTAGTTGAGTGAGAAAGTTTCGTGTTATTATTTTGCCATTCAAATTCAAAGACAAAATGAATATAAATATTTAGTGAAAAAGGAAAATAAGGGCATATAGGCCCATAACAAAATGATGTTTAAAGAGAGGGGAAGGGGGAGATTGGAAAATTGGCAATGTGTTGAGAAGAAGAGGAAGATGAGGAACGTTAAAAATGGGGAAACAAACCCTAATGGTGTGGGGTCCCGTATGAGATAAGGCCACATCAAATGCTAAGGGCTGAGTGCCCTCTTTTGATTATTTATGCTTTCACATCTTTAACTCCATTAATTCATTTTCCACCCAAGTGTGAAACAAATGTAGCTTTAGATTTGGATTCGTTTAGGTATGATTTTTAGGATCACTTCACTTCTCAATCATGGGTTTCTCTCTTGTTTCTTCTTTAATTATAAGCTTCATATGATATTCTTCATATTTTATATAATATCATTCTGTCATTTTCAATTCCTTCAACATACCCACGTCCTCTCAGACTCTAAATTATACGAGTTGAATCAATTAAAAATTCTAAACTTTCGTAAGTGAGTCAAATTTACATACTTGCACGTCTGTTAGATTTATTTAAATGCCAGATTAATGAAGTATTAGAGAAAGAGGAGAAAAATAGAGTTGGAGTCAAGTGAGTTTTGCAGCAACTCTCATCAAGACAAGAATAGAGAATAAGACGAGATGAAAAAATTGATGATCATATTAATGAAAGCCTCTACCACCAACTTGATTCTAGCATGTCTCTCAATTATTTTGTTAATCTTGTATTTAAAGAAGTCTATATGTGTGTGAGGATGATTGTTTATTGACGATTATTGAATAGAATTTATAATAGCCAGTGTGAATTGATTCACTTAGGAAAGTTTAAAAGTTTTAATTGATACAAATTTTTTTTTTTTTTTAACTTCAAAACAAAACTTCGTTAATTAAAATGGAATGCCATAGGGGCTACAGAAGATGTCAGAAACTCAGACATTAGAGTACAAACTTCATTACTTGATTCAATTATTAATTTATGGTTTTTAATTGATTCACTTGCATAATTTAGGAATACAAATTGATTTTATTTCTTTTATCTTTTATTTAC